ATAAAAATTTTAAGGAGAGCCTGGAGTACATCTTGGAAACCTGCCTCTCTATTTATGCAACTTCTTGGGCTTACAATAAATTCATCCCTTTAATCTACTCATCTCTCTAGACTAATGAAAACCTAGGAGAATGAAATAATAGCTTCCTATGTAAAATACTAAAATTAGACCCATAATAAAAAATGTCACAACTTTTAGGACCAGAAATTTCCTTCAAGGTTGCAGTATTTTCGTTTTGAAAACATTACAAATAAGTTGTGATTTTAATATTAGTGCAGCACCTTGAATTTGCTGCAGATCATCTCAATGTATAAATGATATATTTGTTCCTTTTAGTATCATTCTTCCAGTTGTTTGAGTAAAAGATATATTTCAAACATATCTCAATGTATTATTCCATTAATTCATACATTTACGACTGGAACTTGGAAAAAAACCTGAAAGTATGATGCTTATCCCGAATAGTCTCAGCGGTTGATAGCAACAGCGAAGTGTCTGCAAACCATACCTCAACTTACGTGAAGAAATATACAAGTTTTCCAGAACTAATTAACTAAATAGATAGAAATTAGTTTTAATCAGAGGTTTCTTAGAAGCCGAAGGCAGCATAGAAAGGTTTGGCGCAAGACGAATGAAATGAGCTCTGCAGGTGTAATTATTTTCTCTTATTACTAATTCTAGAACTTCCAAGCTAATTCAAGGTGATATATCTTCTATGGCTACAAAAATTGTTCCTGGTGAAATCTCCTAATAATTTGCCAAAGCAAAAAGATACAGCTTCACATGTTATGAAAACAATGCAGGCCTTCATGGTTTAAAAACAAATGAGATGCAAAATCAGCGATATCAATGAGAAACAACTAAATGCAATGCATAACGTAAAATAAGATAGCTAGCCGAACGAATCCACATTCAGGCGATGAAGGAGCCACGGTACACTGCCAATTAATAAAATCCACAAAATGGAAACCAAACTTCAAAGATTTTTTTCGCCTCAACAATCCGTTGAAGATATTCTCAATATATAATATGATCATCGAGTTAATAAACATTCATGATAGCCATAAGGGACCTCCCTTCAGCATATATTTCAAAATTAACGGATCATAAGAGGAGTTATCAATGTCAGACAGTAACCCATATACGTATATTTAACTTTACCGAATATTAAAAATATAATGAGAAACTATCAGTAAACAGGACTTCATTATTCAGCGAAAAACGAATACATTGAAAAGATTACATCTTTCTACAGATCATCCTCCAATTAGATTATGTGTAAAATTAACAACAGTTACCGAAAACATCTCTCAAATAACCATTACAGATCAGATAACATCCCAAAATTCAAAACAAACAAACTCATATCAAAATTCAAAGAAATGGGATTTCAAGAACAATTTTTCAAATAAACAAACCTTAAACCAATCCCTACAGTTCTCTCTCTTTCTTCGAAACATATGATGATAGGTGATCAAGAAACGGGTGAAAGGTTTAAATGCAAAGCTGGCAAACGACAAAAAGTAGTGAGAGAAGAAATTTAAGCGAAAAAGAGGATTGAATGATGTAAATGTAATGGGATGGTTTGCTTTTATTTTCAGAACATCTCGTTATA